ATCAGCCCCTTCCTGGGAAGAACGGTTTAAAACCAGCCCCGGCGAATTCATTTCCCTACTTACTTAGCCTGACTCCAACTCTCAGCTCCTCTGATTCACCAGCTGTCCCTGCAACAAAGCTGGGCCATTGGGAGTGCGAGGGAGTGTGTTTGGTGCCCTGTCCCTCCACTCAGCTTGTCTGCCCTGCTCTAGCGCACAGGCTGCCATGAGCCAACGTTCTTTTACAGCACGCCACTCTCCCGCCCAGGCCCAGCAGCGAAGCGGGTGATGGCGGGCGAGGCGGGAGATGGAGCCATGTGCTCGTATTCCCTACAAAGCCACGTACTTTTTGGCCGCATCGCTTCCCGTGTCGCTGCCTCTAGACAATTTACACTAGCTGAACTAGCTCTCCCAAATACTTTATTAATTCTTTAAAATGGATTGATTTCCTTCGCAGCACATAGGACAGCAAATGAGTCTGGAATGGCTGACACACAACTCTAGAGCTATTGGGGGCGGTACATTTGACAGCTCGGCCTTTCCTGTACCGTTTTCGGGGGCTAGCCTACAAAGTGACCTTATGTAGCAACCACTCCAGACCCAGCTGTGAAGTCTGGCTCCAGAGCCAAACTCCCTCAGCGTGTGGGGAAGGTGGCTTGGTTTGGGAGGCTCTCTGAAGACAAGCTAGGCCTCATCAATCCACTCTTCAGAGCACAACTCTCTTAAAACAAGGCAAGCACAGTCTGTGGCTGTTTTGCCACTAGCGCTCTTTTTAAAAACCATTCCTCCTCACTCATTGGCTCAGGGATAGTTGGCATAAAGTGCCTAGCTATAGCTCAGCAGTTTGAGCATTACCCTGTTAAACCCAGGGTTGTGAGTTCAATCCTTGAGGGGGCCATTTAGGGATCTGGGGCAAAAAAATTGGTCCTGGTAGTGAAGGCAGGGGACTGGACTTGATGACCTTTCAAGGTCCCTTCCAGCTCTATGAGATAGGTATATCTCCATATATTATATTATTATAAGGCAGCCTGGCTCCTGACCATGCCCCCGCCAGCTCACCCCAACAAAGCATCGAGCGGTTGGCTGGGAGGCAGTGTCGTCACTGCATTAGGAGTGGTTGACACGGCTCGTTTTCTGTCCATCAGCCAACTCAGCGCTGAGGACGTGTGTTCAATGTAGTGCTAGATTCTGTGTGAGCACACGATGCTGGCAGAAAAGTGTTGCTAGGTTACACAGAAGGGAGGACTAGGCCCCTCCACTGCAGGCGAAATTCTCTGGCCTGTGCTATGCAGCAGGTTGGCCGCCCAAGAATATGATGTTAATCCCCTCTGGCCTTACACTCTGTGACTCTGCATAGAAAGCAGGAAAGAGGCCAGGGAAGGATGGCAAGGAACCATTAGCTGAAGTGGTGCATGGAGCATTGTGCTGCAAAGGAAAAGGCTTTGTGCCATGACTAAAGTCACATGGCTTTGAGACTGCAGGCCCTGGCCACTTAGGGTATGTCTACACAGCAACTGCAATCCTACAGCTGCCCCATGCCAGCCGAAATGGGCTCGCAGGGCTCGGGCTGTGGGGCTGTTTAATTGGAGTGTAGACATCCACGTTTGGCCTGGAGCCCAGTCTCTAGGGACCTACAAAGTGGCAGGATCCCAGAGCTTGGAGTGCAGGATGAGCTGGAACGTCTACACTGCAATTAACCAGCCCCGCAGCCAGGGGCGGCTCTATGTTTTTTGCCGCCCCAAGCATGGCAGTCAGGCTGGTAACGCGGATTCAGCAGCGTTTCTGCGGGTGATCTGCCGGTCCCGCGCCTTCAGCGTACCCGCCGCCGAAGCTGCGGGCCGGCGGACCTCCCGCAGGTATGCCGCCAAAGGCTACCTGACTGCCGCCCCCCGCGGCTTGTCGCCCCAGGCACGCGCTTGCTGCGCTGGTGCCTGGCGCCGCCCCTGCCCGCAGGCCAAGCCCGTGAGCCCATGTCAGCTGGCAGGGGCCAGCCTCACGGTATGTCTAACTGCAGTGTACACCAGGGATCAGCAACCTTTGGCACGCAGCTCGCCAGGGTAAGTACCCTGGTGGGCCGGGCCGGTTTGTTTACCTGCCGCGTCCGCAGGTTCAGCCGATCGCGGCTCCCAGTGTTCGTGGTTTGCCGCTTCAGGCCAATGGGGGCTGCGGGAAGGGCGGCCAGCACATCTCTCGGCCCGCGTCGCTTCCCGCAGCCCCCATTGGCCTGGAGCAGCGAACCGCGGGCAGTGGGAGCCGCAATCAGCCAAAACTGCGGCCACGGCAGGTAAACAAACCGGCCCGGCCCGCCACGGTGCTTACCCTGGCGAGCCGCGTGCCATAGGTTGCAGATCCCTGGTGTAGACAGATGCAAATGCAGCCCGTGACCACCCTTGCACTGTAACTGCAGGGAATGGCCAAAGCTCACCACCATGACTGGATGACTTTGTTTAATCGTTGGTTTCACTGCCAGTGACAACTGATCAGGTATTTCTAGTCAACTGGCAGGATGACCCAGGTGCAAGCAGACACACCTGTGCTTGGTTTGATTCCCCTGAGGAAAAATCTATTGATTTCCCCATAAATAGCTTAGACAGCTGCTCTGTATTACAAAAAAAAAAAAAAAGGGGAAAAAAGAATATGACGTCCCCTAAAATATAGTTAAAATATTACAAAATGAGCTACGTGCACATATAAAATTTATGGAGCAAGCAGCTCGTCTCAGTATTTGTTATCATGTACTTTACGATCTAGTCCAAAGATCATAAAACTGGCCAGTGTCTCTCTACTTGATACAGTCATGCCTGTACTTTGCGGCTCTGTGCAATACATGCTCATCACGCAGATAAAAGAAACCAGTGGCACATACTATGCTCCCCCTGGACTCAGTGATACGTCACTGAAAGAGGAGACGGGGCACATCTGCAGCACCACTGAGCGTTTAAAACTCACGGCTCAGGCTCCTGAAACTCATGAGAAAGGTTTACAAATCATGAGATTTTTAAAAATATAGTAAGACTTGGGTGTTTTTTATTTGCCTTCAGGGATTTGGGGGTTCAGGTTTGTCTCTAGAACCAGGAGGGCTGGAAACGTATATTGTTTGAATTAAAGCTGAGGTTTTTAACTCCAGGCGCTGGGGCTTATGGAAAACGCCAACGACCAGGAGACTTGCAAGAGTATGCAACATGGAGCTGCAATTTACAAGGGGAAAAAAACCTACCCCCATGTCAAGTCACCTTAGTGGCTTATGCAGGACTGAAGCAAGCCTTGATTGTGGCACAACCTCTGGGCCTCTCTCTAGGGCCCTGCACATTCAATAGAGAGGCAGTTGTAGTTACTGGGATGTTCTTTTATGGGGAGGTGTCAACAGTGGGACTTGGGCATGTGGGCCCCACATGAGCTCTGTGCTAGCTGAGCTGAAGAAGCCGCTCCGTCCTACTCTCCAGTGATTGTTCTATTCTCCACCCCACCCTCCTTAACGCCTGCCACTGTCCCGGGGACCAGAGTGGAATGGTCACTGATCACGTGCCCTGCTCTGGGGGTGGACCGAAGAGGGGAATGGGAAAGCTAATCCCTTGGGTCTTTCAGGGTGGGTGACTGGTGGAGCTGCTGTGTCTCCACGGGCAGGAATTCCTAGTACAGCATCACTCTGGGGAGGCTGGAAAAGGAAGAACTGAACTTTCGAGAAGGCTCAGTCTGCACTAGCAAACTGCATAACCATCAATCCCTCCCCAGAGGTGATGGCAGTGGTGGAAGCTGCAGTGTGGAGAGGACACTGGGGCTTTTGCCTGCTTGTCACCCACCCCTACTTCAGCATTTGCCAGTGTAGACAAATCCCCGAGGCCAGCAGAGCAGCTGCTCCTAGGTTCCATTCAGCTCAGCTCACGACCCATTCTCTTGGGAAGGGGCACACCCCCTACAGCGTTACACTCCCAGGGCCACAGTAACAAACACCGGGCAGACCAGTTGTGGTGCCTGCTATTGATAACTCCTTCCCCACTCCTACCCCATCGAGGCCAGTGGGGGTTTGGCCAGTGATTACAATACAGTGTCTCATTCTAACGCCGCATCTTTCTGTCGCCGCAGGTCTTTTCCCCTCCTCCTGCCCTCTGTCAGGCTCTCTCTATCTCTCCCTCCCTCCTGCTTTCTTCCGCCCCTCTATCACTGCCCCCTCACCTTGCAATGTCTCCCCACTTTCCCATCATCTCCTCTTTGCATCTTCCCTGGCACGCACACTCAGTCTTGGGTTTACACCTGCCACGTGTCAGGAGCGCTCTGGGGAGCTGTGATAGTCGTGACGCAGCAGGACGGTGCTGGGCGGTAACGTGTACTGCAAAGCGGCTGCGTGCGGGTCTGACGACCAAGAGGCTGGACGGTAGGATGGTGGTGGGATATGCAGAGGTGGTATAGCCAAGGGGTCCATTTTATCTCAGAGCCAAAGAGCACCACAAACATCTGACACAAACGCCATCACATTCCCACCAGTCTCAGCACCCTGTCCTTTGTGTGCACACGCTCTCTGGGTCAGGGTGGGTGGGGACACCCCACGCCCTTGTACAAAATCGGGAAACTACACCTCAGGAGTCTCCTCCCCGCTCTCCCCTGCGGGGTGAAATGCTAAGGCAAGGGGTGCAGCGGATGGGCAAGCCCCACTGCTCTATCCCCCAAGGAGTGGAGTCATGAGAAACGGCTCCATGGCGGTGGCACATATCAGCTGGACTTCCACGATTCACCCGCCCCCTCACCTTTGTTTTTAATTTGTCACCTGGGAACAGCCAAGTGTCGATAGAGGATAACACCTCAGCCTAGACCCACAGCTGGCTGGGAAATCCCTGAGCCAAGCTTATCCCTGGTTTAACACCTTGGACTTCAGTGGCGTTACACCAGGCATGCGCTAGACCCACTATATCCCCTAATGGGTATCCAGCGTCTGTAAAGTTCTGCTCCACTAATCCAGCCCCCGCGAGGACCTGGCAGGGGTGGGGTGTGGGGGGGGGCGGGGAGATGAGGTCAGCCTAGAAGCACTGAGCTCGCCCACAAGAGCAAGCAGAGAGGAGGCTAAGTCGGGGATGGCCATTTCAGGGCGACACCCACTGTCATCCCCAAACTTCTGTGCCATTGCTGAAGCCAGTGACGACTCACTGCAAACACCTCTTGGCCCTGCCTGTAGCCAGCTCGCAGGCCTGAGGATCGGCTCCATCCTTTCAGTCCATCAGGCCAGGGGCCTGGAAGGGGGATTAATATTTCAGGGATCAGATTTTGGCGAGGGTGGGAACTGATTAATAAATACAGGACAGATCATTCCCATTCTCCTTGCCTCCCCAGCCCAACCCACCTGCCCCCTTCTCCTGCACCCCGTCCCGGCACAGAGCTTCTGCAGCCTCAGCCGCATCGCCCACTCAGTACCCCGCCGTGAAAGAGCTGTTGTAGGTTTCAGTGTGGAAACAGGTACTGTGAGACGTACTGGTGAGGCTATAGGCAAAGTAGGCCACGGCGGAGCCCAGCGTCAATCCAGTCATATAGGACACAGTCATGGTGTTACCTGCAGGAGAAGGGGAATGGGGAAGAGAAGCCAGGAGGTTAACCCTCATCTGCCAGACATGCGCTGATGGCTCAGACCCTAACAGGGTGCCAGGAGGTGTCTCCACTCATGCTCCTGGGCCCCGCTGGATTTGGGACAGAGTTGCCTGCTCTAGCTCTAATCCGTAACATACCCCCCAGAGCACATTGCTGGCAACCCAGCGCCAGTGGCGATGCTACCAGGCCAAGGGAGAGTGAGGGTGCGTCCGGTCACTGGTTTGTGCCCTGCAGTGGATAGGGGCGCATCACTCTGGCTCCACAGTGGTGTGAGCTGGGGTGGGGAGCCTTAGAGCAGGAATTGGATCAGCATGGGCAGGAGGCAGCCACCAGGAGGGGAGCTCTACTGGGGCCAAAATGGTGCCACCCTCCCCAAAGGGACAGCAGGATCCTCACACCTGCATTGATCTCCTGCCCCTCCGGTGGACCCCAAGCATAGGTGCTCTTAGAAATCGGGCTTCTGGGGAAGGACTCCCATACTGGGCTGGCACCACTGGGTAAGTCATGATCGGCGCCAGCGCTGCTTGCAAAACGACATGCAGGGCAGCCGGCACGTCGGTGCATAGCCAGGCTTCGGGCGGAGGCAGCACTCTCTGGCCTGCAGCCCTCTGAGCCTGGAGGCTATTGCCGGGATAACAAGGAACAGGAGAGGGACTCGACCACCCATCGAGGCCTGCTTCCCACCAGCACCCGTTTAATATTTGGGAGTGATCCAACCTCTTGCTCTCTCCCCACCTAGGCACAGCTGGTCTCTCCCTACTGCAGTAAGGGTCTCTCCACACTACAGAGAGCTGTGGAACATGTAACCAGGATGGGACCTGGTTCCATGCACACGGCATCTTTTCCTCCATTGGCCTGCCCACATCTACCACATCCCACAGCAATGTCTGCCGCAATGCATTCTGGGTACATCTGGGCAATCTCCCACCTGCTCAACTGCTGCTTCCAGGTGCACGTGGGAAGTTGAAACGCAGGTGCAGGTGCCAATAATGTTATAGGGTCATGAGCAATGGCAAACCACAGCGCATTATCTGGTTAGGAGCCACCTGCTAGCCATGGGGTGTGTGGCCATGTGTTAAGCCAGCTAAGAACTCGGCAGCACCTGTAGTGCAGATGGGCCCGAAGGCGGGAGCAGTGACAAGGGTGTGGCAGTACAGCCTGGTCCCCTTCTAACCGTGGGAAACACAAATGGAACTTGTGACGCTGTGGGTCCAGCCAGCACTGTCCCTGCCTCCCTACACGGCTCCTGTGAGCGGCTGGCATGTGTCAACACTTTATTCCTCCTACCTGCCAGTTCCCGCTGCTCCGGGCTCACTTTGCCAGCAGCCAGGATCATGGGTACGCTGCCAAAGTACCCATTGGTGATCCCCATGAGGAGGGAGAAGATGCAAGGCCAAGCGGGGTGGTTGAAGGTGGGTTTCCCACTGGGGTACACGCACATTATAAAGAGGGGAATGAAAATCACTCGCAGACAGGAGTAGATGAGAAGGTGGGTCCCTCTCCAGTCATAAGGCAAGGCAGCCAGGATCTAAAACACAGAGGTCACATTGTGTTGCAAAGTAAAGCGATTTTTGGAGTAAAATCTAGATCAATAAAACGCGGGGCTGTTCAGGAGGCCGGCCTAGACTCAGTGGTAGTTTCAGAGCAAAAAAGCCACTGGAAACAAACAGGTCTCTAATGTGGGATCTGAAGGAATCCAAATTTAGCCCATCCTCAGTAACAATCCAACCCCATTTAGACCAGACCCTCAGCCCAAACACACACCAACCACATCCTTAATAACACACCAGATCAGCAGACAACCCGGTTTTATCGGATTGGTTTTCTAATAGGAGAAGAGGGAAGACAAAGTCTGTAAAAATATGCACTGCAGGAAGTCACAAGACACTCCAAGCCCATGGCCTGAACCTGGGCAACTGACTCCCAGTTCTCTTCCACAGCAGGGTAGACTGGCCATCAGACGAGACCTGTTCCTTAGTAATCTACTGCCCATCTGGCACCTTAACGGCTACCCACCCTCCCCAAGGAAGCCTGCACAGGAAGTCTAGCCAGGACCCCTCCTACCTTGCCTACAAAGTCCGAGAGGTTGAAGACAGCCATGATTAAGATGGGGAGCCACTCCCCAAGAGTGCAGTTGCGGATCTCCGACTCCAGCCCAGGAAAGAGGCACAGTGTGATGAAGTAGGTCATGGCTATGGAAAGCATGTAGGCCCAGATCACCCTGGAGACAACGTAGCGATGGAGCATCATGTCTGGAGGAGGACACCAAAGCAACTCGTCAGCTTATTACTAAACCCACGCTCTTGCCCCCGCAGAGCCATGGCAGTGAGAGGTTCACCTCCACCAGCCTTCGCCCGGGTCTAGAGGCGCTCACAAAGGCGCTGATTAGTTCTGCACGTGAACGGATGCTTTCCCAGCATGTGGCAGAGACGTATCAATCCAGAAGACCACACTGGCTTCTGCCCTCAGAACTCTGACCCCATCTCCCACATTGGAAACCCATTTGCCCTTGCCAGACTCCATTCCTTGAACTGTGGCCCAGGTTCAGGACTGTAAGCAGGTGCTGTTCAAATGACTTCAGCAGAACTCAGGGCTGAATCCAGCAGGCTACCTAAGCAGTCTCTCTGATTTCCATCGGACACTAGAGCTGTATGAATGCTGTAATTCCAACTCCAGGGAATAGCTAATTTACACTAGCTGTGACCTCCCTTTCCTCCCCTGCCCCCTGTGAGGGCAAAAAAGTGAGAGAGACTGCGATAGCTGGCAGTGTTGTTTTATGTCCAGTGCTTGGCAGAAATGTTGCCTCAGACTCCCTGTGATGTGCATCATGAGATTACCTCACTTTGGCCTAAAAGTTTCTCTGTCTCTACTGCTGTTCAGCGCGATGTGTTGGATAGATTCCACCTCCCACACCAGAGGCAGCTGCATCTCAGAGATGCTGTGTGTATCTAGAGGGCGACGCATTTAGGGGTGGAAGGTCTATCCTAGGGATAGACGTCTATGGCTGCCATCACAGTAACCTCTGAGTGCCTCGCAGATATTGATGAACTAGGAGTGTGTTTTCATCCCCTTTGTGCAGATGGGGAGCCGAGGCATACAGAGAATAAGTGACTTGCCCAAGGTCACATGAAAATGCTGTGGCAAAGGAGGAGCTGACCCCAGATGTCCTGAGCCTTCAGTAAGGGAATATCCTTCCTCCCCCAACGGCACGACAGAAATGCTCAAGCAGACGCAGGACTATAAAAAGGGGACAGTTCCACTTTAAATGGCAGCCTCCGAAAGCCCCTTTAAGTGAGCGTGTTGTCCCTGCCAGCTAGAGCAAAAGACAAGCGCGCACGTCACAGCGAGTGCCGGGGAGGGTCTGGACAGCCCGGCTAGCGGGTCCCTGCAGCTGGACGCTGGTGTCCTACCTCGGAAGCTGGGCCAGCTCCTTTTGATTCTTGGTCGAGGGACGCCAAACCTGACGTAGGTGCCGCTGCCAGCCAGCTCAGCTTCATGCCCCAGGCTGCCCGGAGGGGAGCCCACCTGCCCACAAGGCCGATTTTCCTGGGGAAAACACAAGAGGGATCAGGGTAGCGTTGAGCCAGGGGGTATTTTGCAAAGAAAAGCTCAGTGGGAGGAGGGGGAAAGACTCCGGGAACTTATCCGGCTTGATGGAAGACCGTCCTGCTGTCACTAGCAAAGCCAGAATGGATGAGGTCAGTGGCTCTAATACACTCCATCCAGGAAGGGCAGAGGGAAATATGGGTTAGATTGAGCTATCAGTTTATGTGCCATGCTAGGACACCCACCTTTATTGTAGAGATTTATATACAATACTTCAGTTCTCTCTGCACCAATGCACCAGTAGAGGGCGCCACATACCTCCTAAAAGAGGGGCTCTCGCATTTTTCCACAGTGTGCACAACAATGGAAAGCAGGTTGTCTTGTAGGCCCATCTCCTCTCCCATTCCGGGCTGCACAGCCCACCTCCCCTCCCAGGCCCAATCGCGTACCGTCCCTATGGCAACCTCAGCAATTGTTTGCACAGGATAGTAATGGTAGGAAAATCTTAAAGGTCTAATGTCACAGCTACAAGCAAAGAGCAGGGGCCAGCGTGCAGAGATCTGGCGGCCTACCAGAAAGGGCTGAACCGGCGACAGGGTAGCAACCCTTGTCCTACAGCCAATGAGATGCAGGCCAATTATCACACTCATTCATGAACATCGTCTGTGAGGGGCTGGAGCGCGGAGCATTGCATTTCTAGCCCACCACTCTGCCTGCGAAGCTGAAGGAGCAGCCCTGCTAATGCCCTTCGGCAGGGACTTATGTGGCAGACAGACCGTGATGAGAAGCAAAGCATGGTTCTCATGCCAAACAACTGACACCACTGGTTGGAGCTGCTCCCATGGGCCCAGCTTGCCGCCTTCCTGGGTCTGGGGGCAGATGCTGTGCTCCAAGTTCTAACCCAACTCTGGGTTCTGCGCCAAAAGGCTGCCTGGACCAAACCGGTGCATCTTTGTACACCTTTGTCGGTCCTTCCCATTTTCCTAGGAGATAGCTTCCCCAGCACATCAGCCTCAGGCCAGCATCAGGAGGCCCAGGTCAGAGGCAGCAGAACCCCAGCGGGATCTAAAAGCTCTGGCACACCCGCCCACATAACACAGAAAGGGAGACTTACGAATCTGACGTCCTCTGCAGTGACGTCGTGGTGAACCCTGTATCCGGTGCCGTGGTCTGGGACCCCTTTGCCCTCAAGTGCGCCCTCCCGGGAGCAGGCGGTGTAGTACCGGACGAAATGGGTGCGCTTCACCAGCAGGTGGAGAATGAAGCACATGAGCTCGATGCCGATGGAGATGAAGAAGAAGATGATGGTGTTCTCCTTCTCGTCCGACAGGAGGAGTTTGGTGAAAATGCGGCTGAGGGAGATGATCACCCCCGCGGTGCCTGAGGGGAAGAGAGCACAAGAAGGCCCGTCGGCACAGGGGGTCCAGGGACAGCACGCCGCTTAATGGCCGGGGCTGCAGAGCCATTCTGGAGCGGGTTTGAAACCCATTGACAAGGACAGAACCCAAGATATGACTCGGTGGCCAGCCCGGGCCTGTCTTGGCCTGGCCCCAGAGAGGGGCACTACCACGTAGTGAGTGGGCTGGATGGAATGAGAACTGAGAACTGCTGTGAGCCAGTGGCTACTCTGTGAGCTGAGATGATTTCTGTCAGTAAAGCTGATTCCCTAGTACTTCCCCCAGCAACACAGGAGAACAGGCACCTGGTCCCGGCCTTGTTTGCTTTGGAGTTAGCTGCAATGGGGGAAAGTGAGTGGAGAAGCCAGTGGCGCAGCACTTTTATCTCCTCGACAAAGGGATGAGGCACAGGAACTGTCTGTTCTCTCTCCCTGCTGTGAGACGGCTCATCTCCTGCTGGGGGAAATACAGGGGAATCGGCTCACACCACACAGACCTGGCGCTGCCCCGTCGGCTGGCAGTCCCTGGCAATGCTCGTGCTTTGCTCTCTTGGGGGTTAGCAGCAGCCGCATACGTGCAGAGCAAAGGGAAACCGCGTCAGATCAGCGCATGCACCCCTCTGCCAGTCAGTGTATTTCCCCGAGGAACCCAGGAGCTAGCACTAGGCAGAGTTACAATGCCAGAGTTTTCATGCCCCTCCGTGTAAGCGGGACAGGCCAACCACACTGAGTTCTGTTCATTACCCCAGCCCATGGGAGGGGGCAGCCTTTCTTTCTGGCCTGCATGCCCACTATAATTACAGTTTTTCTCTGTCTGGCGTAGGGACATCTGGCCACTGACTGATGAAAACACCAACCAAAGACCAACGAATTTCCCCATCAGTCAAAATATCAGTGAGAGCACCCCAGCTGTCGTCAGTTAGCGCATCTGCCAATGGTAGGTGGTGAGCGTGCCCACCACCTGCTAGTGTGTGCCAAGGCCAACGGGTCTGAGCACAGCAGGATGTCAAATCCATTATCCCGGCCAATGGCTGTTGACTTTACCAGGAAAAGACTAACGCCTCTTCTGGACAGCAGCACCTGCGGAGTGAGCAGCATGCCGGTCAGTTTCCAGCGAGCCATCTCAGGGAGCAGGGCTGGAGACTGAGCGATTGCTGGGCTGGCTGGGCCAACGTACGCTGGCAATGGGGGATGGAGCGGTCTTCTAAAGAAGACTCAGCTAATAATGAATGAAGGCCTTTGCTGTGTACATTGAAAGATGGGCTGCAATCTAACTGGGATGGAGGTGACCCCTACCCCTGGTCACGGCAGAGACTCTATCCTCTGTTCTACTCGCTGTAAAATGCCCTGGGACATGAGTGTGCTGTCTGCATGCTGCTCATGCTGTCCTCCCCTCTACAGAGCCAGAGAGACAGCTGTAGAAACACGGCGGGTACATCAACACTGCAACAGTGACTGCAGCACGTGGAGACATACCCGAGCTAGCTACCAACCGCAGTGAAGCACAGGCTTCAGCATGGACTAGTCACCCGAGTAAGTGCCCCGGGTCCCAGGCGGGCTTGTACAGGCCGCACTGAAGTCCAGGCCACCACAGCTTCACAGCTATGAGCACTCGGGTGAGCTAGACTCCAGCTAGCTCAGGTATGTCTACATACGCTGCAATCACACCTCTGACCTCAGCGACTTTGCTCTGGGCGTAACGTTACCAGATTGCTAAAGGCGGGCTCTGCCTAGACCTCTTAGTGTGTAGAAGTCACATCTCTCAGCAGCATCTTCCCCAAGAACCTGACATTGTGGTGGATGGACCATTGCAACCCGCCTCTGCCTAGGTCTACCCTGTCAGCTAGGGATGCTTCCAGCTCCCGCAGCCAAACCCGTGTGAGCTTGAGAGCACGGGTAGCAGCAGCACGAGCTAGCCACTCCAAGCACAAACCGCCTGAACCCTGTGGGTATGTACTCAGGGGGGCCAGCCCATGACGCTGATCACGGCTGCCCGTGCTACCGTGGCTAGCACAGTAGCTTGATGAGAGCTAGCATGAGTATGTCTGCGCGAGCTGGGAATCACATCTGAGCTCCAAGCGTAGACGTCGTCTCTGTGTCAAGCCGGGGGTCTTTATTACACGTGCCAACTAATGATTACATCCAGGAGAATGGGCCAACTAAGGACGCACTGGCCAATGTGCCAGCCAGCAGCTGGCTAATGAGCCTATTATCTAATCCGAACTGCGAGTCGCTCTGCCAGCTAGCAAGCTTTGAGACTCCAGGGTTAGGAGGATACTCACTCTCGCCAGTCATCACCCCCTGGGTGTACCGCTTGGGCAGCATCCCGGTGTAGCCGTAGAAACTGGATTGCTGCACTTAAAGAGAGAGGCGCGCCGAAAAAAGAGAGGAGAAGAGGTATTATTCCCTACCCACAATTCCGCGGGGATCTAGCCCAAATATATTGCTAGGAGTCCTACCGAGGCCCCTGGAGCGGTTGAAGCAGGAGAGGTTGGTGCAGTTCTGATTCAAGAAAGCACATGCTTAACTTTAAGCTCATTGTAGCTGGGGAAGGACTCAAGCAGGTCTAAGTGCTTTCACGAATCAGAACCGCCTTCTTCACTCTTGCCAACACTATAAGAAGACAATACTGTGGAAAGGCACCAGCTCTCGGTCCTGGATACCTCCGGCACATGAGAGCCCTAGGTACTAAAAGCCAAACTGTAACAGGGTGCTGGGGGGGTGAGGGTGCAGATTGAATCCGGTTGTTTACAGATGTGAAGCATCACGCCAACAACTCGTGTTCCAGAGTGTTAAACAGCATCATAAAGAAAATCATAAAAAGGCTGTAAACACACCTGGGCTAGCTGGTGCTAATTAGCTGCAGAAGGCTGGGTTTTTACGGGATGAAATATGGTCGGCGAATAAAAATCACCCACTTGGGGATTGCCCTGGGATTAACAAGTCCCGCTGCCCAGCAGCTGCACGGGGCCCTGGAATTTCATTATTCCAAAGCATTCAGTCACAAGGGAAAAGGCTTTGGTTAGCACTGTAACAACTGGACTTGATGGCTTTGGGTTACTAATATTTTCAAAATGAACCAGAAACTCAGCAGCTGGAACAGCAAGCAGTGATTCAAAAATCATAAATGTGTCTCCTTAGCTCAAAAACGGGCACTTCACAGAGCCCAAAATGGGAGGAGGAACCCCGTCCCTCCCCACCCCCCGCCCCACACACTTTTTTCACCAAACAAGAGGTGGGGTTCAATTCACGTTCTTTTCTAGCTAATCCATCTGCCTGGTACTCGTATGCCCCACCCCATCAGCACTTCCCAACACAACTAACAAACCAGCCAGGCCAGCTGGCAAAGCAAGGAGCAGCGGTGGCTCTGCTGGGATCTGGCCCCATTGACTGACGTGGTGATGCTAGGGATGCATGTTTGGTTGATGATGGGCTGGGTGGGTACGGAGTTTGGTATTTGGGGATTCCAGGAGAAGCTGAAAGCCCCCCAGGCCATCAGGCAGCACTTTATGCAAATCAGGGTAATTTTATGCAAATATATGCCATTTTATGCAAACCAGATATCTCCTGGTTTTCGCTGGCAGGTGTGCATGCTGCTTCATGTGCTATGGGTTACAGGGTGTTCCCAGGATCTGAGAAGAGCAGATGTAAGTGACTGAACAAATCTACTTCAGAAGAAGAGCGGGGAGATGGTTCAGGGAGGTGGTTCAGGGAGCAGGGATCTGGAGTTTCAGGCAGCAGCAGGTGGCCCATCAGGGGCTGCAAACCGCTGAGTTATATGGACCCAACAGAAATGTCAGAAGGTTTGTTCCTGCTTTTCCTTGCAAGGAAATAGGATCTTTGAGGGGAGGGGCAGTTTCCCCCTTCCAGATACTCCCCTCTCTATTTTCAAGCAGGCCTTGTACCCTGAAACAAGACTCTGCTCTCCCCAAAACCACCTGGCCTGTCCTCCTTGTGCCAGTCTTCACATACCTGTGCAGCCGAAGGCCACGACCCCTACGGCTATCAGGTTAATAGCATACGCTTGCCTGTGGGTGAAGAGCTCCAACCAGACATCACAGATACTGACGAAGAGAAGGGGACCCAGAGCAAACAGGTATCCTGCAGCGAACAAGATGGACACGGGAGTCAGGGGGCAGAGAGCAGAGCTGGAAGCCAGCCTTTGGACTGGCTCCAGACAGCGATGTGATGAGTTCGGCAGCCTGCGGAATCCCAGTGAAAACCCAATGGGCCAAGCGCCAGAGCCACTGGAACAGCCTAGAGGTAGAGTGTGTCCCTGCACTGAGGAGGCGGAGATGGAGTTACAGAGCAGATGAACAAGGGGCCAGAGAAACCCCCTGTTTCTTTCCATCTACGCCAAGATGGCTTTAGTTATTTAACTGCTTATGGGGCGGAATGGAAGCCTAGGCATCGACATGTGGGTTCCTCATGATGTTTGAGTTTCTAGGCAGCCAGATGTTTGGGTGTCCAAATGTCTGCCTGATCGTATTTCTGGTGTCCAGCTAATGGTGTGTCTGATTGACCGCGTGGCTGGAAGTTTGGGTGTTTAATTTAATATATGGAGATATCCTATCTCCTAGAACTGGAAGGGACCCTGAAAGGTCATCGAGTCCAGCCCCCTGCCTTCACTAGCAGGACCAAGTACTGATTTTTGCCCCAGATCCCTAAGTGGCCCCCTCAAGGATTGAACTCACAACCCTGGGTTTAGCAGGCCAATGCTCAAACCACTGAGCTATCCCTCCCCTCCAGTTTACACTGAATGCTGGGCTAAATCTAAGTGACTGGGTGGCCTGAGGCTTGGGTGAATGGAATATGCTTACACTGCTTTGCACATGACCAGCCCGGATCTCCCAACCCCTTTCCCCCTGGAAACTGAACAGAAGGTATCTGCACACACAACACGCATCTCGTCCTCACTGCTGGGAGATCAGGCGGGGAGCAGAAGTGACACTCCGGTACTCTGAAGGGGCCACGGACTGGCAATGATATCTCAGTGCTTGCAGCCTTTTCCCAGGTCAGTTGGTGGAGACGCGCTGGAGACGGGAGTAGAGTCCACCCTTCTGGCAAACGCTAGCCTGACCGCTTGCACCGATGGGATGGGAAAATAGCCAAGGAAATATGGTAGCCCCAGAATGCGGGGGTAGGCTTGGGTCCTGTCTGGATCCCTGGGGCAGGGGAAGGAATTGAAGAGACCTACCCACAGAGATCCTGGTGTGCAAACTCAGCAGCTCCACCAGGGCGTTGTTCAAGATGACGGCTACCAAGGCTACCAGGATGTAGGTGAGGCTCATATCAAACACAATGGAGGTCCCTGCAGAGCAACAGAAGAGGTGAGGACGGTCAGCAACACTCCAAGAGCAGCGTCGGACTGAGTGCGTTGAGTTCAGCGGGGAGAGCAGGGTGCTGTCAAGCTACTGCTGACCATGGGTCTGTGTTGGCACCTTGGTGAACAGAATTTGGGGTCTGGTGGCTGTTCTGTATTTCCCCCAGCCCACCTGTCTGGTTTATCCGAGGGCTGAACCGGGCTCAGTGTTTATAGTGCCATTGTTTGGGTAACTCAGCTGCGGCCTCAAAGAACAATTTCAGGGTTGCCTTGTCTAGGGATATCCAGGAACAGGAAACATTTTCCAGGCTGTGGAAATAGGCAGCCAGGGCTGTCTGAAATAGAAGGCTGTGGAATGATAGAAAGTGGGGTGAGGGTCTGGGGAGATACCCCACGGGCAACACAGGAGATGCCCGTGGGGCAGCTGCACATTTTTTATAGCTTCACTTTGCACTCAGGATACAAACACCCCTGGGTGATACTGCTGTCATTCATTGGGCTACATTTGTGAGTTCAGGCTGGTAGACATCCAGCACCTGTAAATATTTGCATCCAGAAGAACTGGGAGACCAGGACAAGTCCTATTTCAAAACCAGACCCCCACCAAATACACAGACACTCACTTCGGCAGCCTCTGTCTTTTCAACATCCTAGCACCAGCTTCTAGGATCTTCTGTCACTAAATTTGACTGTGTTTGCAATTGGCATTTAACATCAGGAATCCGGACTGCTGGCTTTCAAAGGTTAAATGTGAATTGGAAATCAGCGGCCTGTCCGGGCTGATTCCCCTCTGCCTGTCAGACTAGCATTCTCCTGCTAATGAGGACTCTGACATGACAGCTTCCATGTCATGTCCTGGCTCAGTGTGAATGAAATCCAGGGAGCAGAGCCTGGGACATGCCAAACCACCATCGCCGGGAAGGACCCACCTGGATATTTGTGATGCAAATAGTCCACATCTGTGATAAAGCTGTTGTACGGCAGGAGAAATCCAACCCCTGCTAGCAGCATGGCAAAGTAAATCCCATGGTATCGATCCTGGGGTTCGGGGTCTTCCGAGGCTACACGCCAAAATATGACAGAACAGGTGACAGTTATGCTGATGGGCCTCTTAGAACCCAACACAGAGTCCTACAGACAGGCTGGGAAATATATCGAGAGGCAACAGATTTATTGTTCACTGAGATGAGGTACAGAACATTCCCAAATGACAGGCTCTGTCTGTGTCTTGCAGCTTTAGTAAAGAATCCCCATTATATTCATTCCAACTCTCTTCTCTCCCATGAGACACTGCAGTGCCATTATTCTACTCGATCACCCACACAGGAATAACCAGACTAGACCAGTGGTCCAACTCGTCTGGGACCCTGTCTCTAACAATGGCCAGCATTAGCTGCTTCAGCGGAAGGGGCAAGAAACCCACATATCGGACATCTGTGTAGTACCAGCCAACGGGGGAAGTATCTTCCTAAAGACACTCGTATGTATGGATCTGTGTACACATGCCTCTAGTTCCCAGCCTTCCATACCGGGAGCAAAGAGGGAGGTTTTTCTATCACAGAATTAAATGGTCCCTGTACTAGAAGAAGTTATTTATCTCCACAGCCAGACATATTTTCACAGAATCACTGACCACAGCCCAGCCACACTTCTGCACGTGAACCCCCCCCCCCCCCCCCCCCCCCCCCCGCCCCACCCCCGCACCCCCCCCCCCCCCCCCCCCCCCCCCCCCGGAAAGAGCAAAGCAGAGACACCTGCTTGTTATCTCAGGTGGGCTCACAAGGGAACATCTGGGGGCCCCAAAAGAGCAACAGCTGTATTAAATCTCAGCCTTTCCCAAAGGGCCACCTAATGGCCATGGAGCGAGTGCGCCACAAGGCCACGTGGGAAAGCAGCTCCCAAGCCCTAGCCCCTCATTACAGGGTCGGAGAGCTCCAAGACGGATTAAACAGCAGGGTCAGCCTCTTTATAACAAACTGTAAATGGCGGGATTCATGTTTGATAGCTGTATTGCAGGGTTCCCATAATGTGCCCAACACCAGGCTCACCTATGGTGCTCCACAAATAAACACCAGCCTGGCTAAACTGCACCCTGTGAATAGAGGCATTTCAACAGTGACTCTGGCTGTATAAGAATACCAGGCCTTTGATGTGCAATGGACGGCAGTAATCTGATATGAAGCAGTCCCGTGCCAACCAAATGTACGTACAGGGAGTGATTGGCAGAGGTTCAAACCTAGGGCCAGAGCCGCAGCTGGTGCAAATGCAACTAGCCCCAGTGGAGGTAAGGTAAGGGTCTGTCCTACAGCTGGCACCTGCTCACGTGACTCAGCCTGTGAGATGTTTGGAGTAAACTCTCGAATAAGATCATCTTGGCCAGGGGAGCGACTGCTTGTTAATTGCTTTCCTGTCATCTGGGAACACACCGCAGTTACGACATGTCGGAGTCTGCACTGTTCAAATACCGGCGGCTCTGCACAGGGAAGTGGTAATGTGTGTGCCTTGCAAATAGCACGGGCCCCCAGGCTCCCCACTGCCCCGGCATCAGACGGAGAGGAACGAAACCACGGCAGGAGCCACAGAGAGGCCTGGCAGTGAAGGGGGAGTGGTTAAGAGCAGAGGGAGGAGCCATGATACATCGCACGCTTCCTCATCCCAGCCCCAAGAATGGCCTTTCTTACCCAACCCTGCTGGGATGTCAAAGCCTGCACGCCTCCTCCGAGGGAGCGTGGCCAGCCAATAGCCACGCAGTTGCTGGCCCAGTCATGTTCCCCTGGCTAGCGAGCAGAGAAGCGTCCTGCGTGCTGCCTCGGACCCACGCAGTTGGGGAATTCCCTGCTTGTTTTGGTGGGTCCTGGCTGCAGCACCCCCTGCCCGTCCTGGGTTTGTGGGAGGGTTACAAAGCCACAAAGCTTTGGGATTAGCTTGTTCTCCCTGCAGGCTGTTTGGACGCAGGAGAACGTCCGGGCCATGGCAATGGCTCAGGGGCTGCCTGGACAGCAGGCTCCACTCACAGTAGTTATGCTTAAGGACTGGGCCAAATGGCTCCTGTACAATAAGAACCAGCCCCAGACGCTGGCCAAGATTTGAACCGAACCTTCTGGAGGCCTGGGAAAAGTTCCCCGAACGTACCGTTGTTATTATTTCCACCCTGTCCGGTGGTCTCTGTGCTTCCGGGTCTCATTTGGGCCTGAAGCGTTACCACAATGAGGTAATGGCTGCTCAAGGGGCGCGTCTGGCCTGGCCAGAAGACCTTGCAAGAAAGCCCACCCCTGTGAGATCTCCCGACCCAAGGAGCCAGGATAATCTGAACACCTGGCCAAAGTCTGGGGGGGGGGGGGGGCAAAGCAGGGTTTGCCCATCGCTCTGGGATACGTGGAGCGTTCTGCTGGTTGGTGGAGCACTGGCTACGACAACGCTCTCTCTCCCCACTCCTCTCCCTGCACCCAGGGAGCCACCTCAGCAGTCTGTCACTGCCATCGCTAGGTGCCCCGTCCGGCCCTTCCTCCACGCTCCCTCCTTGCGAGCCAGGAGAGATGCGAAGCCCAGCCACCAAGCCCTACCTGGCTCCATGAAGGTGAGGACTCCCTTGGCCTGATTCCCTTTCGCCTGCAGCTCCTCCTCCTCCAGCTGGTAGCTGTCAAAGCTGAAGCTCATCACCACGTTCCCCTCGGGGGTCACCACGGGGCTGATGTCCTTGAAGTGATCTCCTCTGACGGAGCCCATTGTTGCTGACCTAAAGCAAGAGAGGGCAGCAACACACCATCAGCTCAGCTCCAGCGTGGTCCTCAGGGGATACCCCCCAGGGGCTTATTCCCAACGGGGCCAAGGGCTCAGCTAACGTAATACGTAGTAGGGAAAACATTAAACGCTCCATAGCACAGTAGCTAGTGAGGGAAAAGAGCTGTGAGATCATCTGGCCCTTCCCCCTGCCAGAGCCAGAATGACCACAGCATCTCAAGTGCTTTGCCCTGTCTAGTTTTAACTGCCCCAAGCGACGGGGCTCCCACTGGCCTCAGTCCTGGAAGGCTTTAGTGTAATTCACCTCACTGGCAGGACGGCTCTCCTGATAATCAGCCATTTCCTTTGCTCAGTCTCATCCTGTTTCTCCTCGTTACACCCCCAGGGCTTCTGCATCATTTCTCACAGCAGCTCACACTAGCTGAACGTTTGGGACCGGAGGGATGTGCATAGTTTCATTTTCAGCCCAGACCCAGAGCGTTGCTCTTAGCAGCTGGCACTGGAGAGAAACAGTATTCTTAGTGGACCAAATCCTGAGGGCCTTATTGAAGCAAAAGCCCACCGAAGCTAATGGGCCCAATCCACTGCAGTCAATGGGAGCTGTAGGTGCTCGGCAACTCAGAGGTTTGGCCTGATGGATGCTAGGACTGAGTCAAACCTGAGCAAGGCCCGGGGGATCTGGCCCCGAGTGAGACTGACTCTCCTAGTGCAGAGACATCACAGAGGACAGTGCCAGGATCCCACGCACAGGCAAAGGGGCTCTGTAAGGAGTGCAGGTTGGAGACTGCAGACTGGTCTCAGGTTATTTTGTTGCAGGGCCACAAGGAAATCCAATTGCTCCTTCGCTCCCTCTTGCTCCTTCGTCCACTGCCTCTGGAGACCTAGCTCAGGGATGGCTATTTCGGCAGAGACCTTTAGGCCTGCCGTCATATAGCCTTGCATTCTTTGCACAGGTGCATTCCTGCCACAGACACTCCTTAAAGGGCACTGCATTACTGTATGCAATTCAGCACCTCGTGTGGTGCACCGAAGCGAGCCCCCTTTGGCTGACCCCTTCCTCCGGCAGCTCAGGGTTCTGCCCAGGCTGCAGAACAGATCTTTGCTCCCCAGGTCCAGTCACTGTCTCGTCCATCTCAGTAGCTTCTACTGCACTGGCACCAAATGCAAGAGCAGAGACAGCAGCTTTGAGCTGGGCTATCTGGAGAGCTTATCTCAAGCTTTGAGGGATGGTGTTAAGGTTTATCGCCGCTGCAAATCCCTCACTGAAAGCCTCCAAACCCGATAAGCCGGCAGGACGGGGCTGCTGCTACTCAGTGGGGTTTTCACACTGACAGCCAGGGGTTTTCCTGCCTTGGGTGTCAGGGTGACAGCAACGGCTGTCAGAGGTTTGCTTTGGTGCTGGGGCTTTAATGTCCCCATGCTCCTGCTCTGCAGCAGCCTGTCACATGCTTCAGTTTCAATAAATAAACCCAAGGAGGTTTTTTTTAATCCTCCGTCTTGCCAGGAACAACAATATGAAAAACCCCAAGTCAGGGGCCAGAATAGACCAACCAGGGCGGCTTTGGCTCCAGACCAGGCAGTCAGCTGGGTTAAAGAGGACTTGGGACTGGCCACGAGACGGCATCGCTGGCTGATTAACGACCAAGAGCGAAGTGCCATGGGAGAGGCAATGCTGTCTGTGGTTAGAGCGTGGGCAGGGTTCTATTCCTGGCTTGGATGCTGACTCATTGTATGCCCTTGGGAGAGTTGTTTAACCTCTGCGCCTCAGTTTACCTTTCTGTAATATGAAGATAATACCTTCCTCACAGGCGTTAGAAAATGTTTGTAAAGGCATTTGAGAGCCTCATCTGAAGGCAAAGGGCAAACTATTGTAACAAACTGGTGGCCCTCCTACAACTTTGTGCATGCCTCTATGCTGTCCGTGTGATCAAGGAGCACTTCAACACGGGGAGAGAACCCAACGCCTCCTGGTCTGAAAGCAGAGGCCCTACTCCTTGAGCTGAAGGAGACTCTCTGTGAGCAGCATAAAAGAGTTCTGCTAAGAGTTGGAGATTCCCATTCCCTCCAGTAGAGGGCGGTGTAGATACATAACCTTCCCAGCAGGGCAGGTTGGAAGGCTGGTGTGATGTTTACTGTTCGTGCCCCAGGGCTGCCTGATGTGGAACATCAGCTGCTTCACACTGTCTGAGAGCTCGGTAATCAGTGGGACAATAACCTGAGGCTGCTGGACACTCAGGACATCTCCCCCTTATCCTGGCCCTGGCTGGTGCTCTGGATTTCTGCAGCAGGCCTGGGAGAGAATCTGCGCTTCTCAGTAGGGGATCCCCAAGCGAACGGCTTTGCAGGGAGACCCAGATTTGCTTGAACCGGCCCTAGCTCCACCATTCCCAGGGCTGTAATTTCCAACCCAAATCGGGGGCTCCAAACCCCAAACCTGTGAGCCCAGCAGAGAGCAGCAGGAACCGCTTTAACCGATCCTTGCTGTCATGAGGGGCCACTTACAAAGAACCCCATTAAACTTAACTGGGGCTGTGTTGCAGGGACCTAGCTCTGCCTCTAGGTGGTGCTCTAGGCCACCTCAGGCAGGAACATGCCTCCCAGAGTTGGGAGTCTTTTGGATTTGATTTGTTTTCTGTTGTGGTGAGCACCATGTGTCTGGCTACCACAATGAACGATGGCTCTGAAGAGGGGAAAAATCTACCTGCATATCTGGAATCCCAACAGGAACACAGTGATTCCATTAGGGGTCTGATCAATTAAGTCTCCAACCCGACCCCAAGAAGCCTGGCAGGGAAGCTAGAGTTTGCAAAACTCCAAGAGGCTCCTGTGGAATCAGACAGCGCCAACTGATACCTTGAATATTTGTTCTTAATGCAGGAACAGTTCATGTATATAGGTCCTCAGTGCACAGTTCTTTGCATGGTCAAAATCCTTTTAGATGATCCCCAGCTTCATTTCATTCCAAACAACATCAGAGGGTAGATCCTTATTTATAGTTATGTCTACTGTGTATTACCCCAACCGCCCACTGGATGTCAATGGTGCTCCACCAAAACACAGCTTTAGGTACACTCATCGGGGGAATAAAATGCTCTAAAAACAGACTCACAGGGGTGTGGGGGGGGGAATTCAATTTCAGTCATTTCCTGTCGCATTATGAGATGTGATGTTTGCTAGGATATAAAAGTTTACATGGAGTCTTAGCCATGATAAGCCGACGAACCACATATTGGATAAACAGGGATAGAAACCTAATGCCGTAGTTAATTGGGTTGCAGTCCCAATGTCACACAAGCTAATGAAAGTTATATTGACCCCTTAGAATCTAGACCTTCCAAACTTTGATTGCTTCCTTGAGCCATAAACGTATTTACTTATTCCAGGAACGTGCCACAGCATCCTCTGAATCTGTGTGATAGGCCAGTCAGTACCATTATGCTAATAGCATAATCCACTGTCTCTGCCTCTGACATGTGAATGTTGTTCTTTCAGAGACTAAAGGTCAAAGTAGCAACAACAGGTCCTATACTCCAGCCACAATCTAAGGGGAATGTGCCCTCTCCAACGAGCAGCCTGGCAATGCAACAAGAGCAAAGCAGCTACACTACTCAAGGTAACTGCAACCCAAAATTGATCCAAATCGAGCATCTTGATCATGGGCCTGGAATTTTTTGCCTGAACTTCCATTGAATGGAAAGAGGGTGAGGGTAAAAATCTCGCTACCTGCTCCTACATGGAACAAACGTAGGCCTTATGCATTGGGTCCACGCGCTGGACGAAGCTTGCAAGGTTGGCAATACACAGCGACCTTGGAGTGTCACATTTTGAAGAAAATGAAATTACAACAGAAAACTGACCCCTAAGGCTCAGTCACCTTGAAGCACCAGAATTGACTCCTGGTCTGTTTCACAGGTTATTTCTTTAAATGGGCTTCACTCCCTTTTAAAGGTGGGATAAAACAGTTGTTGACGCTATCTGCTAGGAATCTGCTTACAGAACTGAGTTTGGAATTAGCACCTTTTTGTCTACTGTCAGGTCAATGCTTTGTTATTCTCTGTGAGAGATGCAAGACCATCCAACAAGGAACAGAGCTTTGACTGGCTCAGACAGGACTGGGAATGAATACAGATCCTTTCTGTATTATTTTTTGTTGAGAAAGTCATGCTTCATTAACCTTTTCTTAACACCCTACAGCAGAGTAATGAGAGCAGCTAAAATTATTAAAAACAAACACAGCAAAAACCACTTACCAAACACCTGATGCTAAAAGAAACAAATCAGATAAGACTAGACAGGAAATGGTCTCCAGACCCACTGTAAAGCCTGTGGTAGATTTTTTTAAATAGAAAACCTATTATAAAAGCCTCTTATCACAACTTAAATGTCTTACTGATTATACTAGACCAATAAAGCTGGGAAGCATGGATGAACCTTTGCTGTTCTGCAGTCAATGCGATTCCTTAATAACACCCGGCCCGATTCTGCACTCACAGTGGGTTTACACTGGTGTGCATCCATTGACACCGGTGCAGTTACTGCTCGCTTACACCTCTATCAGCGAGAGAAGAATTGGGCCTTAGGCGAGTGACATCCACAGTCCCTTTCCCGGGCTCAGAACGGAGAGGATGGGGAGGATGAATCAATTCTCATCAGGAAGATTTTTGTGGGTTTTTTAAATATTTTCAGTAGCAAATATCTAGTGAATCCTGGGTGGCTGGGTGTGGACAGTGGCTCTCCTCTAGCAGGTCCGGCTCCCTCTCCTAGGCAAGATGTATTCCCTTATCACTAAAAGCAGCCTGGATTGTTAAACCCCAGCCCTGGGCTGCCCCACAATCGCTGATGCTCTCTGTCCCCAAAGCAACTTCTTTCCTCTCTCTAGCTCCTTCCCTTCTCTGCCATCTCCTAGCCCAGCTGTCCTGCTGCCAAGGTGGGCTCCTTACAGGGCTGTGAGCGGAGGAGAGGGTGAGAAAAGCCGGGCTGGAAGGGAGCTCAACACTGCGGCTCGCTCGGGGCTCTGCTCTCCTGCGGCTGTCGAAAGAGGGGCCCGGCGAGATGCCTGTCCCATTTCATGCCAGCAACAGCAACAAGGCAAAGACAGATGATTTCTCCACCTTCCATCTGCTCCCCATTCACCCCCATGCCATGAGCCGGGCTCCCGGCTCCCTCCCCTGCCTGGGATGCCCCCTCCTGGGGGCGCTGCGCAAACACCCACGTTGCACGAAGGCAGAGATTTGAAAAGCCCTGATTTAATTACAGTGCTATGAAAGGGGGGGGGGGGGGGGAATCCCCCAGCGACGAACCACCCGCCGCGCGGGCCCCCCCGGGGATTTTTTTTGGGGGGGGGGACGATGCCTCCCGGCAGGTTCAAAGCCCGGGTGCATCTGGGGCGGATGGGGTGTGTGGCTGTGTCTCCCCCTCACTGAAATCTCAGGCGAGGATTTACCCAGCTCCGTGCAATGTGCAACCTGCGCTGCTCGGGGTCTTTGTCCCCCGCCCCCCGGGCCGCAGCCTGAGCCGGGCTGGGCGGCCCAAGCCCCGGAGCCGGGCTCCAGCCGTGCCCAACAGGTTAGCCCCGTCCTCCCTCCCTTACCTCTGCCCGGGCTGGCTCCGCCGCCGCCTCAGCGCTCCTGCCCGGCCGCCTTCAGCCCGGCCGCCCGAGCCAGCCCGCTGCCTCCCGTCGCCCGGCCGCCGGCTCCATCCAGCCTCTGCCCGCTCCGCTCCGCGCCGGCCCGCGCCTGGGGGGAGCCGCCGCGGGGAGGCGGAGAGTGTGTGCGCGGCGGCCCAGCCCCAGCCCCCCGCTCCCTCCTCCTCCTGCAGCAGCCAACCCGTCTCCTCCGTCCTCTCCCCGCGGCGCCCGGCGAGCCCCCGGGGGATCCGCGCCTGCCCAGGGCTAGCTAAGGGGTGATGCCCGGGCCTCTGGTGCCAGCCCCAGGCGGGTCTCCAGCCCGCGGCTGGGGAGCTTAGGTGAACCTGGGTGGCTTTAGCAGCCCGCCCCTGGGTGCCCGGTCACCCTCTAGTCTGCCCCCCTCCAGGCCAAGGGTCCAGCTGTGCCAGGCACAAAGGCAGCAGCCTTGGCAGTTTGGCCTGGGGGGAGCTGGGCTGGGCGGGCGCAGCCAGGCGCACAAGGGGGGCTGTCAGCCCTGCAGGAGGTGGCAGCTTCCCCCAGGCCGGTCTGAGCCAGCGCCTGGGCACCAGGCTGGGGGCCACTGGCTGGCAGACAGGGCAAATGGGCCTTGCTGCTTGTGGTTACCCAAGGCCTTGTGGGGACTTTTCACCATCGGAGCAGGAGTATTGCACCCCCCCTTCCTCAAAAACGACCTGGGCGTGGGGCCCACGCACTGCCCTGCCCCACGCAGATGGGCAGCTGAGATGGCTGTTTGCTTTACTGTAACCTCCTCCTCCCACCCCACCCCCATGGTCTGTTTGGTCCATCCTGTCCCACATCTAGATTGGCAGCTCTGCAGGTCAGGGACCTCTTTGTTACTTTTCTGTACAGCGCTGCACTGTGGGGCCCTGAGCCTTGATCGGAGAAGGTCCTGCACATCATCAATAATAATATTAAGAGATGGGCTAATGCGGGTGGTCACATTCTGCCTACCTAAACTCCCCCATTGTTTCAATTGGAGCCAGGATTCTTCTTCGCTGACGGACCCACAGTGTTGCTGTGCACGGTTAAATAGCTGCTGTATCTCACCCCAGAGGTGGCCGCATTCCAGGATGAACTGATAAATGTATACATTGAACCAAGCCCTTTGGAAGGAAAGGAGCTACATACATGTAATCTGTTGTTACTCTCATTAATAAATAGCGCCAAACCCTGGCCTCCGTGTGGACCGTTTGGGAACAACACACAATGAATGGGATTTGTTGGTGTCTCAGGTCCACAGCCTGAGGCTGAAGGCTGAGTGATACCGAGCACCCAAGCTGTGTGGGTACCTGATTCAGGGTGTTAATGTTACTCCTATGGGAGCTTGACTTAAATGGGAGCAGGCCAGTGTGTGACACTTTGCCTGGTTTTCCCCTGCCTTGCAAAGTGCTATCCTAGCCGAGTGGCAGCATTTTCCACCCATTGCACTTTGCACAGGTGTGAATGACTGACAGTGAGGAATCGGGCCCATCGAGTCACTGCATGTATCCAGCAGCTGAATGGCAACATGTACAGGTGCATTCTCCTCTAGCAGTTTAAACGCTGACTGCCAGTGCCCAGAGTTGGAGCATCTAACCTGCTCTCCCTCCCACATACCAAACAGAAACACTGACAAGACAAGACAAACAAATAGAGCAGAAAAACAGTTTCACACACCTTCTTCTCGACTAGCTTTTGCTTGTGATCCCCACTAGAAAATGACTCCAACTGCCCGCCTTCTCCCCCACTCTCCTCCTGAATAAAACTGGCAGAACACATTCTGCGCCAAAGCCACTTAACTAAATAAGAAAATTTTACATTTCTTTTGCACCTTGAGGATCTCAAAGGCATATGACAAACTCAGCAAACTGCCGTACAAATCATACAGGAAGTTCATGCTAGACATCACTGAAATGCTGCCACTTCTGGGGTGGAATGCGGCAGCTGTTTAATAACGCACAGAATCCATACTCAATAGGTCAGGGAAGTAAGAAAAATACCATCCCCCAATGGAAACACCTGATGTAATTTTGGCAAGCAGAACCAAAGAAATTTAAATGGAAAAGACTTATTAGATCATCTATATCCATATTCCAAGGCAGTGCATGATTGTTTCCAGAGACAGTGTATGAGAGCCAGACAGGAGTCAAACCTACACTCCTATAATTCACAGTCAAATATGCATTGTGCCCCTGGTATTGGAGAGAATGTATTTACCCAACATGGAGTGCCAGGGACAGTCACAGACTGGGCCTCCTCCCTTCTGGCTTTTTGTCAGGGGACAAGCTCTGAGGTGATTGCCAATGAGTTTTAGTGATTCTGCATGATGGATTCATGACCCAGCAGTCTGAGTATATGGCAAGCCCTAGTCATTGTCAGGGTGCGTTGGTGCTCACTGACAGGACCTTCCCACCATGTGGATTCGCTTCATGCAGCTCCCTTGGTCTGTTAAGACAGCAGATGGGAGTGGAATGGGGCATGAGGAGCTGGAGCCCCCAGGGAGGACACAGGGAAACTGGGGACAGGCATGCAGAAGTGGGACAGGAAACAGGGCGAGGCATGCAAAAATGGGACAGAGCACCCGGAAAGGAGGTACAGAGGCCGGTGATGGGGTGAACAAAGCTCAAACTGGACCAGAGCAGGAAGGGGTTAATGGCTAGACCTGGAAAAAGAGGCAGAAACCAGCTCCACCCTGCAACATCTGCCACTAATATCAAGCTAGGAGGAGCCTCCTCCAGCAGGACTGCGTTAAAAGGGACTTTGAGATGCTTGATTTTATTTCTTACGCTGCTAAAAACGGCAATACATGTCACCTTCCGGCTGACCCCGGGCACGGCAGGAAGAGGTGTCAGGCAGCAGCCCTGATGCACCAACCCCTTCTCATGGTGTAGAAGGATTGGCTATTGACTAATAAGTTCTTGCAAACTTCCCTGGGGGAAAGACAGAGCAGTCCTGAGGATTAAAACCATTGGAGCCCACCAAGTTACGCCTACCCTACTCTCTGCACTTTGATGCTTGTGGCTGACCGCGCCCAAGGCCTGGGTGTCACAAACTCCTCACCTGGTGTCTTGCTGGAGGCATTGCTGCTTTTCCATTAACGGCCCTCTTCCTTTAATTACAGATCTGCACACGTTTGGCCTGGCTGCCAGCTTTCTGGGGCACTTCATCCTCAGACAACGGCCCCCATCTCTCGGCATGAGGTAATTATACTGCAATAAAAGGGTTGATTATGGTTTAATAATGTTCAGCTAAGCTGCAGTGCAGAAGGCTCTGCTCACTTGCTTGGAGAAGGCATGGGAACTGGGATCCTGGAGGGACCCTTTCAAACACCGGCAAAACGGTGCAGGCCCACCAACGGTGGAGCTATCAGAGAGCACTTCATGCACTCCCCAATGGGACCGTCCCACTCTCCTGCAGGGGAGAAAGTATGTCTGTAGGTGGGGAATCTTCACCCTCCACCATTCTCTCCTATGCGGGGGCAGGACACAATCTGGTCAGGGTTAAAGTAACGGACAGGCAGGTTTATTGGCTACATCCCTAATGGCCAGTTGTCTACCCGAAACGAAGCCTCCCAAAGAGACTGTCCCAGCCTGGGTCCTTGGGGCGCTGGCTCTACTTTGGCTGCTCCAAATCCCTGGTGGAGGGCATGGAGGCGGGTCCTTCCAGGGGGGATATTACACATAGACACTCATTGGTTTCAACCTACTGTAGCAAACAACACACATTAGAGCCACACCCAAGATCTGCTGGTATCGCTCAGCAGAACCTGTCTCCATCCCTCTAGCTCCTAAAGAGGGACAGAGCAGGGAGGACGAGTCTTTTTGCCTCTAGTCCCCACAGTGCCCGTTAACCCATGCTCAAGAGCCGTCTCTGTCCCTCTAGCCCTGCCGAGCTCCCTCTGCCCCACACTGACTTGCATCAATTTCAGCTGGAAAGTTTGGGCTCCAGAGCAGATTTGGATATTAGTCCTCCAAAGTGTTGCCTTAGGCAAAGGCTAAGCAAAGGGGACACGTCTCCAAACTGAGGATACAACTGGAATAGTACCAGGACCATGGCAGGCCAGTACCAAACTGTTCTCCAGCTCTGGATTTTCCACCCATTCAAATCCTGGCTTTGCTCATTCATTTGCAGTTGACACCTTTGGGTCTCCTCATTCCTAGCCCTGCCATCCCAAAGGACCCAGATACGTAAACCCCAGAACTATATTAATGTCAGACTAAGTAGCCCATGTTTGAAAGAAGCAATGTTTGAGCCCATTAGGGGAAGGAGAGGGGGAGGTGAAATTTTCTTTACTTTCTGATTAGCAAGGGGCTTGCCTGGAACCAGAACAGATAAAGCAGGTAGGAGCAGAGGAGGGGAATGACAACAGCAGTCCCGATTCCCACCTCACATGCATCGGCTGCAACTTTGAAGAGCCTCATTATGAATTACAATCTTCTGGTAGTCAGGAAGTGCCACCTTCCATAAATCAGCTCACAGGTCCTGGGGGACGCAGTGCTGGCTGTGATGCCGGAGGAAATTAGAGAGACACAGTAGGCAACAGTTCCTCAGCATCCTCTTCATTCGGAATAGAACCGAGTGAAAATCCAAAACAAATAATTTACCCAAGGAATTTGCCTCTTTTTTCCTTTGTGGGACAATCCTGGGCAGGTGGCAATTTCCTCCCATTTTATTTTCCGTCAACAAAAGTGTTTGGTGACTTTTGCAGTGTTCTGTAGATCACAAATAGGATTCATTACTCACTAGTCAAACTATCTTGGTAAATTATGATTGGTCAGAATAGTCAGGTGTGATTACCTTTTTGCTCCTTGCTTGGATGAGCGTGCAAGCACATCCCACACAAATACGCACGTGCAACTTTGGCGTTCACTAGCATTTGACCGGATTGCATGAATGTTTGTGGGAAGGCACGAAGGGGGAAGGAGAAAGAACACAGCCAACGTGGATTCCATTTAAAGTTAAGAGCAAATAGTAGTGGAATCTTTT